TTCTGAGGGGATCCCTCCCTGTCACTACCTTAGGTGGGCCTTGGGTAGGGCCCAGGAATCTGTTTTTCAAATAGGTATACCAGGGGCCTAATAAGTATATAGAGCAGTGATTCGCTTACAGGCTATATAGTTTAGGTACTAGATTGAGAATTTGGTTTGAATTTTAGGTCTTCATTGCTAAGGTTTTCGTTATTAAAGAATCTTTCAACCTTAATTTCCTCCTGTAAATATCTACTTGGTATTTGTTTTTTATAACTTTGAAAAATACCTAGCAATAAAATCAAACTGCTGATTTTACTTAATAATTAATGTTATTTTGATAAGTATTCTTAGGTAATACTTGGGAGTATCCTATTTTTTGACATTGGTGTTTTTAACCTAATTTTATTGTATCCATTATTATCAAAACAGTTATTCACCATTTTTTATGTTCAAAAATGAGATTTATTTCCATGTAATATGTAACACCTCAGAGCAAGCAGTTTTAAGTAAGTTATTCACAATTGTATGTAAGATCTAAATTCAAGGTGTGAAACTTCATAATGTTATCTTTTTGAGTAAGAAATGCTTTCTTTTTTGCATATGGTATGACATTAAATATTTTGTGAACTGGAACTTGCCTGCAGATGAATGGTGTCCTTATTTACCTTAAGCCCTGTTTTAGAAGTTGTTCAAGTTTCCACTCTCCCAAAATGTTTCATACAGTCAGTACAGTCAGTTCTCCTCAGTGCAAATGCTGGAAAACATCAGCTACTTGGACTAATTTGAGGTAGCTTCAACTTTACATTAAACTGCATGGGAAAGAGAATGTTTTGTTAGTAGCTGTCTATACTTGAATAATCTTTCTCTTGAGTACAGCTGCTTACAGGTTTTCGTTCTTGATTTTAAGAACACCAGAAACTTAATAAAACATTTTTCTTATTAGCTTTGCATGGAATTCTGTGTTCCCACCTTCTGTGGTTTAAATACGGTTTGTGTGTATCATGGAAGGGTTTCATGTGTTGGAACCCTTGTCTTCAATGTAAAAATAGGCACATACAAATAGGCACATACAAGGAAGATAAAACTCTGAAAGAAATTAATTAAAGTGTACTCACTACTTAGCCCATGAATACTGTCTAGTCATTTATGTTTTAAAAACATTACATGATATAGTTTATATGATATGCTAAAGAGCAAGAAAGTTTGTAAACCCTTTTTAAAATTATGGAGCCTAGAGTCAGATGGTCAGTTTGAAATATGTCTTAAGTTTTTTAACTTCAGTGCTTTATCTGCAAAATTAGGATAAAATGGCTCCTACTTCTGTTATAAGGGTTATTATAATTTTCTTTTATGTGTTAGTAATCATAAGGAAGATTTGGAGGCAAGTGAACTGGATATGGCATATGGGTAGAGTAGAAGTTAAAAAATACAGTATAAGCATGTTATTTAAAAATACAGATTTAATTAAGAAATAGCAAGGAATTGAAAGTGGTTGTCTCTGGGCAGCAGAAGTAAGGGGCACAGTGGACTTGGAGCAGGAGGCTGCTCATCTTTATTATGAGCCTTGGGTACTAACCTTTCGAATTTTGTTTTGATAATGGGACAAAAAGAACTTGGAGCAATCCTTTGGTGTTTAGCTAGTTTTTGGATTTTAACTTGCAGCATTTTTATTTTGCTTTTATTATAGAAATTTTTAGACACATGCAGAAGTTGAGAAAACAATATAATGAATCCATCACTTAACTTCAACCATTATCAACTCATGGCCAATTTTGTATTATTTGTACCAGCATCTCTGACCACCACTGGATTATTTTGAAGAGAATCTCAGACCTTACATCATTTGTCATAAATGGCCTTATATATATAATGTGACTATAGTGACCTTGGTGGGTATGCTGCTTGGCTCTCCCTTCAAAAACTTATTTGACCAGCTGTAAGGAGTTGACTTAGCTAATAACATTCAAAAATAGCACTTTTGAGATCTGAAGTGTTTGAGCCAAGGTTTATATTCTTTCCTGGTATCTCTCATACAGACTAAGTGTGACAAGACTTATAGGGCCTGGCAATTTCTGCCCCTTATGGGACTCTGTGGTTAATCTCTACAACTGAGCTCAATATTGGGTTGGCCAAAACTTGTACCACAGAGGTGTACCACATTCTGGGACACTTTTTGCCAGACTTCCTTTCTGTTCAACACAACTGACCAGGATCATGGTCTAAGGGCCCTATTACGTAGTTCTGGTTCTTCTCCTGTCTTTCATAGGTGTTACCTTCATCTTAACATCTGCTTCCCCATCCAACTGACAAAATGGGTAAAAGGATTCTTTTTAAAGAATTTGCAGAAAAGAGTTGACATTAGATCTGAGGATATTATTCTTCAAAAGGTCTGCTTAGTTAGTTGGCCTTTGATTGATGTTTGGAAACTTAGATTTTAGGACTATTTTCATGATGGTTTATGTGAACATCTGCTTTTGGGAGCTGGAATTTTGATATATGCTAGGCATATGTGAGTACCTATGTGACTAGCCCCTAATAACTGAGAATTTTGCTAAACTATCCTGGTAAACCATATTTTGTATGTTATCACAATTTGTGATTGGAGGAAATGTCTTAGTGGGACAGGACTTTAGAGCTTGTGTTTAGTTTCCTCTAGTCACTTTTGATTTTGGTCCTTTCCCTTTGATTTTTGATTTTCCCTTTGGCTATAGTAAACGGTAGCAATAGTTACAGGTATCTGCCATGGTGTAAGAAGTCCTGTGAGTTCTAATGAATCATTTTACCTGGGAATGGTTTTAGGAACCCCGATACATAAAGCATAATAACAAATCCTATAAAGTCCCATGATTCTTATTATCAAGTAACTAGTCAATGTTCAGAGTTCCTTGATTGTCTCTTTAAAAATACACCTAGAGGTGGTGGTGCATGCCTGTAATTCCAGCACTTGAGAGGCAGAGGCAGAAGGTCAGTCTGGGCCACACAGCGAGTTCACCCGCAGGGAAACCCTGTCTTAAAAACACATACACACAATATAAATAAATAAACCATAAAACTTTGTTCATGTTCTCTATTCCCATTCTGAGTATCTAATTTTTGACAGACTTTGGAAAATGGAGACATTTTTGCTATTGAAGCATGCTTTTTAACTATGTCATTTTAAAACTGTACAGAATAATTACAATGTCATGAAGTCAAAATACAACTTTCACATTACAGCTGAAAAAGAATTGCATCTAAAATAGTTTTCTGTCTCACATGGCCTTAAGAATATTGAGGCTGAAGTTGAATTCACAACTTTATCATTAGAAAAGGTTTAAAATCTGTTTTAACCTCTTCATTTTGTAGGTTGAGAAAAGTGTTGGCTATTTTTTGACCAAGTCACGAAACAATAATTGTCTATAAATTGGTTTTTAAACACCAAATGTTGGCCTGGAGACTTCTAGGTTTGACCATTAAAGTAGGATTGAAATAGAGGGAGAAGAGTAGAACCATGAACACGACTTTATTTGTCAACTAGAATTATTTCTATTTAATCGTGACAAAATACTAATAACTGATACTTACTTTACCCGGTACTGTTTTAAGCACTTCAAAGCTCTTCCAGTTTTAGCTCTTAAAGCCACTATATGAGGGCTAGTTACATTAGGTAAGAATTACAGATGAGAAATAGTCACAGAGGTTTAATAGCTTTTCCAAGGATACACAGTAAATCAGGAATCTAAACCTAGGCAGGCTGAAAATAGGATGTATTTTGTGTGAAGACACAAGGATAATAAAGAGGTTCAAAATCTGGTCGTGTGAGATGAAGGAACTTCACTAAAAACAATGTTTTGATTAGAGAAGATGTTTGAAGGTGTCAGGGACATTTAGATTGCCAAATATTAGGTCTGTCTTAGAGCACATATATAGATATCTTCATGGATGGAACTCAATAAATTCTTAAAGTTTATCTTTGATCCACTATCGGGTATCTTCTCTTCCCTATATCAGAACTGTATGAAGACAGAATGGCTTTCCTTAAGGTTAAAAATGTTCCCAATGCTTACTGTTTGAGCAGAGGCTGATTGTTTGGAAGCTTCATTAAAGGAAATTAAGAGACTGATGGGTTAAGTGGATCAAATAGTCTCTGAGGCCCTCTGCCTGTCTTGAAATTTCCCCCTTCCCAAATTAACAAAAACGTAGCTACTTGATTAAATTGGGTAATTTAAAATCCCATACAGGATTCATATCTATTTATTCTAAATGAGTTAAGTGTATTGTGAGAGTTCTAGGGTTGCATAGTCCTTATTTGATTTGGAAGAACCAAAACTAGCTACTGGTGCAGCTTTCCAGCTTCAGGCCCATTTTCATTTTGAGCAGTCCACTCTAGTTGATTCAGAGTTTTCTCCCCTTGGTTCTTGTCTTGTTAAATGCTATCATACTAGGGTATAATATTTAACTATTCTCATGTTCCTGTTGAACAGTAGGTTTTCAAACTTGAACATGCATTTGAATCACTGACAGCATTTGTAAAAGTAGATTACTGGACTTCATTTCTAGAGTTTCTGACTCAGGCCCAAAGTGGAGCCTTCAAATGTACATTTCTAGTACATCTCCAGATGGTGCTGGTATGTGCCCTGGCTTCAAACTCACAGTCCTCCTCCTGTCTCCACCTCCTGAGTAGCTAGGATTACAGGCATGTGTCTTCATAGCCAGCCAGCCGGTGGTTGGTCTTTGAACACAGAATGTACACTTTTCCTGCCATTCTGTAAACCACAAAGAGAGCCACATCTCCAAGGTCTAGTGGGGGTGGGGAGAGGGTTCATGTTCACACTTAGAGTAACCAACCCGTTACTATCATGGTAGGGGTAAGAATCCAACATGATCCACATCTCTATTTAAGGACCTTGAAATCTCTTTTACTTTTTCTCCCAAATTACCAGCTCTGAAAATTAGGTTTTTCTATATGTTGCATATAATTTTAGTCATTTTTGCCACTTATTATAAACTGTGTTGTGTCATCCTTTCTCTTTCCTCAGATACCCAGAAAGTGGTACACTAGAAATGAATGTGAAGGATCTTCGACCACGAGCTAGAACTATTTTGAAATGGAATGAACTAAATGTCGGAGATACAGTAATGGTTAATTACAATGTAGAAAATCCAGGAAAAAGAGGATTTTGGTATGATGCAGAAATTACCACATTGAAGACAATCTCAAGGACCAAAAAAGAACTTCGTGTGAAAATTTTCCTGGGGTAGGATTCTCTTCACTGACTTTAGTTATTGAATTCAGGAATAAAATTTTTAGGTATAAAACACATGTTTCTGATTTAAAAAGATGGAGTTTATGAAAGAAGGAAAGTTTCATATTCTGGAAGAATATTTTTACAAATAATTTTTATTAAGAATGGCTTAAATCTTTGTTTTCTGTAGGGTTAGAAATGTTTGGGAGAATCTTGGAAATGTCTGAGTATCTTAGAGAAATACTTACATTTATCACAGGAATGTTAAAGATGAAACAAAGTAATACACAAATCTTCATTCTCCTTCTCACTCTAGAGATGATCTGCTCTCACTCTTTTGAAAGTATGTTCCTTTCCTAATAAACTTCACTAGCATTTTCACTAATATGAATAAATAATAATATAAATAATGGTATATATTGCATATAGTATATATGATAACATATATATACACACAGAAAATCATTTTAGTAGCTATGTTGATATAAGAGCAGTAGCAATAGCTATCTGTAACTTAATGAAGAGAATTCAAAATGCAAAAAGTCATCTGAAATACCAAATCACTCACATGTTTATCTTGCTAGTTCTTTAAGAAATTCTCTTAGGTGATAAAAGTACTAGACATTGTTTCACAGTTAGCTCTTATACCTGGCAAATTATTGCCACCTGTCTGCTTCTTCTGAATAGTTTATTGGCTGAATAATTACTAATTTACAATTTTTAAAAGATAATCTCTTAAACTATTTCTCTATTAAGTTATTTCTCTTTATTATAAATAATGTTTAAATGATCTTCTGTATGTATTTTATGCATTTCTTTATAATGAGTTTTAGTAATTTGTTGTATTGAGCATTGACTATTTTGGCATGATACTAACATTTCTCTTACATAAATGAAGCAGCCAAATTTATATTCTTGCCAAATTCTAGTTAATGGGATTAGTATTACAAGGTGATAACAAATCTAGGAGAAGCATTTGCTTATGATTAAAATGTAAAGCAAGGGTAGGTAAACTCCAGCCCATTAGCCACCCTTTTTTGTACATAAAGTTTTATTGGAACATAGCAAAGCCCATTGATAAATGTATTATCTGTGGCTGGTGTTAGGCTAAATAGCACTGTAGAATAGTTGTAACCAAGACCTTGCGAAGCTTAAATTACTTACTGTCTGGCCCTTCATGTAAGAAGTGTGCTGACTCCTGAGATAAGGAAAAAGAGGTGTTGAGTAAAGCTTGTATTTTATTTATTTATTTTTACGGTGCTGGGATTGAAATTTATATATTAGAAAACAGATTTCAGAACTTTGTACAGAAATGTGTGATTATATTGCTGAACTAAAGATGTAGCTCAATTACAGACTTCAAACAACTTAAAACTCTGATATGGATACAAACCATGAAGTAAAAGAGAAAGCAACTAAATAAATTGACTGTAGAGAGCCTTGTAATGTCCTTGAGTGCAGGAAACATAAAACAGCACATGCATGCAATAGGACCTAACAATACTCACTGCGCTAGAAAGTTTTCCCAAGTGATCATGAGGTAGAGTGGAGTACTGTGACTTGGGAGATTAGAACTAAGATTGGGTGGAAATAATGGATAGGCAAATACTGGTTCATTATGTGGTAGCTATCCTAATAGTAAAACACTATCCTGCAAATTATTGTGTTCCCCATCATTTGAGTTTTTACTAGAAGTATTAGGAACACAAGAGCCAAAAAAGAAGCTAGTGAGGCTTGAGGGTGGAAATTTTTTTCATGATTAAAAACTTTTCCCTAAAACAAAAGCACTGAAAGCTGTAGAATAATAAGGAGTAGGAGGAGTAAGGGTAAGGAAGAGTAAGAGAGGGGTTAGACTGATTAAATTACAATATATTCACTGGTGAAATACCATAGTGAAACTCATCCTTTGAACAATGAATATACACCTAAATAATGAAGGACAGGAATGTAAAAACAGGTCCTGTTAGGGGGTAGGTAATGGTGGTAGTGGGAAATGGAAAGGATAAAGGAAGGTGAATATAGTCGATATATTTTATACACTTTTATGAAGAGCGAACATTGAAACCTGTTGAAACATTTTAAGTAGGGTGGAGTGGGGTGAGGGAGAATAATGGTGGGGTTGAACCTAACCTACGTACAATGTAAGCGTATATGAAAATGTCACAATGAAACCCCTTGTACAACTAATACATGCTAAATAAAAGTGTTTAAAAATAATCCCTTTTCAATGGCTAAAGTTAAAATTTTAAAAAAAAAAGTCCTTTCACAATAAAGAACGGATATATAATTAGGGCTAAGGTGTAAGCGCACTCTGTTGTTGGTAGTTTAGGGTTGTTATTTACAGTGCTGCCATGACATTCTTGTAGCTGTGCCCTGTCCCATTTGTGCGTTAGTTATTCCAGGATTCATCATGTCTAGAGTGAAATTTCTAGTTACAGAACCTGTGCATCTCTAGCTTTAGTCAATAGGACCAAACATTTAAGTGATTGTAACAGGTTAAACTTCTGCAACAGTGCAAGAGTTCCCATTGTGCTGCACTCACATTCACACTTAATTTGTCAGATGTGGGTTTCTGCTAATCAAGTGAGTCTGTAATAAAATCGTATCTGTTTTTGTCCTTGATTTGCATTTCCCTAACTAGAGGAGTTGAGAAAGTTTTTGTGTTTAATTGACAAGTTGGGTATCTTTTGTGAGAACCAAGTTCCAAACTTCGGTGCCTTTTTGTTGCTGTTATTTTTTGTTGTTATTTGGGTAGTCTATCTTGGTTTTTAGGAATTCTAATTATGGAGACTAGCATTTCAGTCATCTGTGGCAAAAGTATCTTTTCTATCTCTGGCCTATCTTTTCTCTTTAGGATGTTTGAATAGTAGTTTTCTTTATATTAATGTAGATAACGGTTCGGAAAGTTGAAGCAACTTTTTGTCCTTTCATGTGTACTTTCTCTGTCTTGCTTAAGAAACTTCCAGAGATCATAAACATACTCTTCCTATCTAGGCCATTCTATTTTATTCTGTAGGTAGGTCTTAAATGTTCTTAGTGTCTTGTGTGTACTGACATATAGGAATATAAGTAATCTTTAATCTTAGATGGGGTAGCTTTAGAAGGTTAATTTTAATTTACATGTAGATTGTTTTGAAATGTGTACTATTATATCATCCTCCAATTAATTTTGTTTTGTCTGTTTTGATTTCTTCCTCTTCTCCTTATTTACCAGCTGAGTTCTTTAGTGCATTGTTGAAAAGAGGTAGTGATAGATATCTTTTTTCTTTTCCTGCTGTAAGAGAATTTTCAAAATTTCATTAGTAACTGCAGTGTTTGATACAGACGTTTTGTATATTTGCTTTCCTAGATTTAGTTTGTCAGTATTTTCTGTAGCATCGTGTTAGTAAAACTTGAGTGTAACTTTTCCTATCTACTTGTCCTGAATGACATATTCTTTTCCTATTTTATGGTAGTGTTTTATGTTTGGTAAACTCCTTGGTAAAGTCCTATAGGGCTGTTTTCTTTATGGGATGGTTTTGTGATGATTGATTCAGTTTCTATAATGATCATATGACTTCATTTTTTTCCCCCATTTCTTGACCTAGAGTTAAATTTTCTGGTAATTTGTCTGCTATATCTATATTTTAAGGTATTTGTTAGCCACATCTTTTTTAATGCATACAATGTCTGTTGTGCTATTTCTTTTTCTTTCTGAATTTAGTTTGTGACTTTTTGGTCAGTCTCACCAGAGGTTATTAGTTTTGTTAGACTTTTGGAAAGAATTAATCTTCAGCTAAATTTAATCTTTTCCTGTATTGAAGGTGCAGAGGAAGAAACAAATAGAGGACATGAGATTTAATCTGTCCTGGAGAGTTAATAAGGGAACTTGAAATTTCTTCATGCTTGTTTCTAATTCTTTTTTCTTTTTGAGCGGGATGGTAATACTGGGGTTTGAACTTGGGGCCTTGTACTTGGTAGGCAAGCACTCTGCCACTCCATCCACGCCCCCAGCCTCTTTCGCTTTAGATTATTTATTACCATCTGCCATGGAGTTAAAAATTGAGAAGAAACTAATAAGTAGAATCCAAATTGAGTAGGACAAAGAAAATAGAGACAAAGGAAAACACGGTTCACTTACAGCAGCGTAAGAGAGTAGACTTCAGAAAATAAATTTCCATAGCTTCTTTTTGTTTTAATCACTTTTATTTGTTTTTGTTTTAGAGACAGGGTCTTACTTTGTATCCCAGTCCATCCTGGAACTCATGATCCTTCTGCCTCAATCTCGAGAGTGCTGGGATTTCAGGCATGTACTGCCATGCCCAGCTTAAAAATCACTTTTGAGGTATAGTTTGCATACAGTAACATACTCCACCCTTTGTGTGCAGGGATTACCACACCCACAGATTTAGTCAACCTCTGATCAAAAACATTAAAAAATAGTTCATCTGTACTGATAAGTATACCGTTTTTCTTGTCATTGTTCCCTAATCAGTGCAGTATAACAACTATTCACTTAACATGTAAATGATATTAAACATTATAAGTCATCTAAAGAAGATATATAGGAGAATGTTTCATAGGTTGTATGCAAATAAAAACTTCAAAGTTTTTTATTTTATATAGGCTATCTGCGCATCTGTGGATTTTGCTATTAGAGGGGATATCCTAGGACCAATCCCATGCAGATACTAAACTATGACTATATTTATTTTAAGTGTATATTTCTGTGAACATGAAGAAATATATGTATCAGTGCCACCATTGTGTTCAAGAACATTTTCATCATCCCAAAGTTCCCATGGGCTCCATTATAGTCATTACCACAATCCTCATTGGCTCCACTGACCCTACTTTCTATCTCTTATAAGCCAGAGTTTTGAATTCTTCACAAGAAAAAAAAAAAGAAGAAGAAATAGGGTTAGGTACTCCAGATCAGGAACAGAAAATTTACAAGATGAACCTGAGACATCTTGTCATATAAATAACAAGGAAATCTGCAAATACTGCTAAATTTTTTCAGAAGGATTTAGGAGTAAACTAGAACCTCCCATTAGCCACAAATGAGACAGTTTGAATATTGAGAAGGAAAATAGCTATAGTAGATTGAAACAAAAGAAGTTATTTAAATCTACAAGTCCATAGCAATACAAAAATGTACTAGTCACTTATAGAAGATGTTGGAAAACTATTCTTTTTAAAAAAGCCAAAGAAGCATTTTACCTACCTGTGATAAAAGCTATACCACTGGGTCACCAAGTAATCGAAAGATGTTTTACTTTAAAGCATCTCATAGTTTTTCCCCCTAGCAAATGCTAGAACTAGAATTACCAGCATTTTCTGGGATCCAGTGCATTAATAAATCCAAGCATTGAGCATTAGTGGCTACTGTCATGACAGGAAAAGAAATAATTAAATAGATGCTCTCTGATGGAAATAGACCTATGAAATAGTCTTGGTAGAAAATGAACCTAAATGTAATTAAGTGCCTTCAATGCAAGGGTTACAGTCCTCTCGCCTTCCCTGTGAAGAGCCAGGGAGTAAATAGTTTGGCTTTTGGGGGCCATCATAGCATTAAACCAGCCACAGATAATATATAATCAAGTTGCCCACAGCTAGATTCCAGTAAAAGTTTATTTACAAAAACAGGCAGTGAACCAAGATTTCTTTGCTTTTACTTCAGCTCCAATTGTCAATTTATAGGAAGGACAAAAACAGTTTAAATTATACTTTGGGAATGCAAGTAGCAAAATCCAGACTGTGAGAAAATCTATTGGACAAATGGTTACGGCACTTTAAGAAATTGCAAGGAAGTAAAGATGGTGTGAGAATTTATAGATTGTAGGCTTTTAAAAATACAGACATAATTATACCATATGTTTAGGGAGGTAGACAGGTGATGAGGCTCAAGAAAATTAAGATAACTAATAACTCTTGAGAGGTTATAAAGAAGTTGTCAGTTGGGAAGGGCGCATGATCAAGGACTTCTAGGTAATTGACAGTTCTATCTTCTGTCATGGCTAGTGATTTACAGAGAGATATATACCTTCAAATTGGTTAAGCTATACATTTGTCCATGTACAAATGTCCATTCTACATTTGTTACATTTGACATTAAAAACTTTAAAAGAAAGGGTAAAGAGTAGAAAATGTCTTCCAAGCAAAGAATGCTAACCAAAAAGAAGTAGCCTTGATGTAGAATGCATTATTAAGATAAAAAGCAGTATTTCATAAAATGATTGAGGATTCTGAAATTTGTATATACCTAATAAGATATCTTCAGAAATACAAAGCAAAAGCTAGCAAATTAAAAAGAAAAATGTACAAACCCACCATCATAATAGGAAACTTAACTTTAAAGAAACATGCAAATAAGCATAAATTAAAATCCTGACAAATACGGCTTCCTGCTTGGAAGACTTTTTTAAAAAAGAGGCCATCTTTTTGCCCAGAAATTCACTGTGTTTATTATAAATAAGTCTTTCGTTTTAATTGACAGGATAGCATAGTTTTTAAATTTACAAGACAGCTGCTTTCCAGATTCTCTAAGTAATGATTTAAGTCCTGAATTTCTTTTTCCTTGATACTACCCTAAAGTTATACCTAACTTTAGTGCTAACTAATCATAATTGTACTTTTCCTACTATTAGAAACAATAGTTCAGAATAATTTGCATCACTATAATCTCAATTTGTAAATGGGCAAAATACAATGAGTTTCCAAACTGACTTCTAATCATTATTTTTTGCACAAGGTTTAGATTTTCTTGGTAGAAGTTAACCTTTCTTCCTATTTTAAACAGGGGTTCTGAAGGAACATTAAATGACTGCAGGGTAATATTTGTAGATGAAATCTTCAAGATCGAGAAGCCTGGAGCCCATCCTATTTCATTTGCAGATGGAAAGTTTTTAAGTATGGATTTTTCTTTTGAGCATAGACTGCATGTGTTGTATGTGAGGGAAATTGTTTTTACTGATCACTGAATAACTTGGGAGGAGTATAAAATTGTACACCATACAAATTTGTTTTAAAGGTACCAAAGTAGGAAGAGGGAATACCTTCTAATAGGTTTTTCTGAGTATTGTCAAGTGGCCTTTCAAATGTTTATTAATTGACATCTTCACCAACAATGGCTAGTTTCTCTATATCTTTATCAATACTGAACATATATCTATTTATATCTAATCTAAGAATTAATGCCCAAAGTATTAGCTTGAATCTCTTTAGATAGAATTAAGGATCTATCTAAGGTCTTGTTCTGAGTTTCTCATACTTTTTATGGTTCATTAAGCCATTGATACCTCAGTAATTTTTTTCAAAGGCACATATAAGCTACAAGAAATACTGAACTATCCCACTTATTAACTGTTCAAGAAATTATATTTCCCTTGAAATTCTAAGGTATTCTATGTTGCTCCAGTGAGTTCTCTACACTGCCCTTGAGTATGCAACATTTGGGAAATTATGTGAGTCATATATATATATATATATATATATATATAAAACTTTTAAAATAACATTTGCTGGTTATTCCATTTTTCACTGGCTTATGCCTTGGCCCTATTCCTAAAACTCTGATTTAGTAAGTCTAGGGTGGGACTCAGCAATTATTCTTTAAGTCTCATACTTAATTATTCCTTTTAGTTCCTTTTTGTTGTTGTTGTTTAAAAAAAAAAAAAGCTATATGGTGTTTCCAAAGTTTTTTTTTTTTTGTAAGAAAAGATTTAAGATGTAAGATTTATTTTAACATAAGACTTGCTGTAATTTTGTTCTTAATAGGAAAAAATGACCCTGAATGTGACCTGTGTGGTGGTGATCCAGATAAGAAATGCCATACATGCTCTTGTCATAAATGTGGTGAGAAACAGGAACCCAACATGCAGCTTTTGTGTGATGAGTGTAATATGGCTTATCATATTTACTGCCTGAATCCACCTTTGGATAAAGTTCCAGAAGAAGAATACTGGTAGGGTCACCCAAATTTTGTTGTAGTTGTTGTTATTTTATAAAGAATCAAATGTGACATATATATTTGAACTACCAAAAGTAGATTTCTAAAGATACATAGTGTATGTTTGCATGCTTAAATGTTATAGCCAGTGGTTTCTTGGCATTAATATCTTTATTCAATTACATAAAAAATTCTTAGCAACTTCTGGATTCTAGCTTCATCTTGTAAGCCCTATAGTCCCTTCTCCAATACAGAGCCTGAATTCTTTCAAAAGTACAAATCTGAATGTTACTCCTTTGCTTCATAGGCTTTATGTTGCCTTAAAGAGCCCTGCATAATACTATTTAATTGCTTCTCTAGCTATTGCTCTCTTTTTTTGGTGGTGATGGGGAATGGTACTGGGATTTGAACTCATGGCCTCACTTGCCAGTCAGGTACTCTACCACTTGAACCACACCTCCAGCCCGTTTTGCTTTTTTGAATAGGGTCTCATGCTTTTTGTCCAGGGTCAGCCTGGACCGCCATCCTCCTATTTATACATCTCACGGAGCTGGGGGAGCTGGGATCACAGACACGTACCATGTGCTCAGCTTGTTGGTTGAGATGGCAGTATTCCTGACTTTTTGCCTTAAATAAAACTCATACTCTGTTTCTTTTCTGGATTTTCACACCTGACTCATTTTCTTTTTAGAAGCATTTTCCTCTTATACATAAGTTGAAAATGACATTCACCCTTCAGCTTTTCACTTAAATATCATTTCTTCCAATAAGCCTTTATGATGGCCCTCCTCTCCCAACCATGTGTTAGATGCTCCTATTATGTTCTATAATAGTGCTTAATAATTACTAAGTATTTAGTATATACTAGACTCTGACAAAATGCTTTATATGGAATATTGTATCTAGTTCTATGAAGTTGATAAGTAGAACAAGGCTCCAAGGTCAAGTGTACTTACCAAGATCTAAACTTCCACATGTAGTGATTGCTATAAAGCACAAAAAAAAAAGTGGTTACAAAAGAAACTGGGAAAAATGTGCCCAAAGTTATAATGAACTTTTAATACCATATTAAGGATTTTTTAAAACTATGGGCCATATTATACTACCATTAAAGGTTTTTAATTACAAGGTATGATAGTCAAAAATACTGATGTCACAAATGGGTAGCTGGTACCAATGTGAAACACCTCTGTCTTACAAAGATAGAAGAGGTAGGAGGAAGGGATATAGTTTCTTCCTGTCACTTCCTACCACTAATTTGCATGAATTTTACCACCACTGGGTAACTACCTTTCCTCTGAAGTCTCATATTTTTCTTCTTGCTTGTTTTAGGGGAGGTTATATTCCTGTTTCTCTAAAAGGCAATGTTGGCCACTTAATGGAAGGGATTTTAATTTATTGTATTTAGTGCCTTCTCAAACATAATTTTCTCAACTTCATGAAGTGATTTATGTGTGTGTTTTCTCTTCTATACTGTCAAATAAGATATCTCATAATTAGTCAAGATTGACTGACAGATACATGCTTTCTTTGCTCTAAAGCCCATCTGGAATAAATAATTATGAAATGGAAAATATAGACAAACATAAGACTAATTGAGCAGTAGCCTTTAGAGCTTTGTTAGAATATACTCTCTTAAGTTCCCAGTTCTCCGTGACACAGGTAGCCGCATCTCATTCTATAGACATACACCTTGGTTTCTGGAAAAGATTTAAGGAACTAGTCAGAGTGGCTTGTGCCTGTAATTCCAGCTGTTCAGGAGGCAGAGTCCAGGAGAATAGCTGTTTGAGGCCAGCTTGGGCACAAAGTTAGCCACACCACATCTCAACAAATAAGCTGGATGTGGTGATGCACTCTTGTGATCCAAACTATGTAGGAGGCTGTAGGTAGGAGGATGACCCATACCAGGCAAAAAAACTCCATGAGGCCTATCTGAAAAATAAAGCATAAAAGAGCTGGGTTTATGGCTCAAGTGGCAGAGCACCAGCCTAGCAAGCCTGAAATTCTGAGCTCAAAATCCAGTAGTGCACCCTCACCCCCTAGAAAAAATTAAGGCAACTTACGAGAAAGAACAGACAAGTACAGGAAATGAGCTACAGGTAAGGTTCATATAAACAAACATCCTTGGTATTCTATATACTTGTTATAATAGTCTTTATTTTTGTTTGTTTATTATTAATTATTACTGTACTGGGGGTACACTGTGACATTTATAGAATTTCTTACATCATAGTTAAATTCATCCCCTCCATCACTCTCTTTTATCTCCCCTCCCCTCATTCCTGGAATAGTTTTAATAGGTCTTATTTTTCCATTTTCATACATGAGTACATAATATTTTTACCATATCCACTCTTCTACACTCTTTCCTTATAATCTCCTCCCTCCCACTTGTATTCCCCCACCACAGGACCTGTTTTGCCTTCCTGTTCTGTTTTTTGGGGGGAAAAAAAGACAATTTTGTTTGTTTAAGATGTCTATACACAGTTTCATTGTGACGTGTATTTCTTGAGAATTCTAAAAACCAACATCAGATGTGAAGATGTATCTATTGTACAGTTAAATATTTGATCTGGAAGCATCAATTCTTTCTGCTTTAGTTTTAATGATAAGAATTTCAAGTGAATAATTTCTATTCTCGGGGTTATTGATAAGATAAGAGTTTGTGGTTCCATTTGAATCTCATAGTTTTGTCTGGCTTTTGAACTGAACATGAGGATTTATACTAAAATCTTTAAATTCTCTAAAGGAATGACAATTTTTTTTACAGCTGGCCTAATCATGCAAATGTTTTGAAAACTTTAATACTTCAGTGTCAAAAATAACCTAATCTAGAGAGGCCATTATTCTATTACTGTTACAGGCTTTAATGTATTGTCAAATTTGCTTTTAAAGGTATTGTCCTTGCTGTAAAACTGATTCCAGTGAGGTTGTAAAGGCTGGTGAAAAACTCAAGATGAGCAAAAAGAAAGCAAAGATGCCATCATCTAGTACTGAAAGCCGAAGAGACTGGGGCAGGGTAAAGAAGCAGCTTCTGTTTTTTTCCTTAGTAGAATTTATAGTATAGAATATTTCCATACTGTAGTAATGGTGTAAAAGATTAAACGATGTTTGTTAATAACAGTGATGCTTAAATTATATCATTAGCTAGGTTTCTACTTCATTTACATCTTATAGGAATTAAAGTTTTTCACTAAGATTTAACATAAATGATTTCTCAAACACCTTATTTTATGATTTACAGGGAATGGCTTGTGTTGGTCGAACGAAAGAATGTACTATTGTTCCTTCTAACCATTATGGACCTATTCCTGGTATTCCTGTTGGATCGACTTGGAGATTTAGAGTTCAAGTAAGTTTTTATTTACTTATTTAAGAACTTTTGTTTGTTGGATTTTTCAGACACGGTCTCATTACAGAGCCCAAAATGGCCTTGAACTCAATCCTTCTGCCTCAGCCTGTTGAGTGCTTAGATTATAGGTGTGTACTTCCACACCTAGCTCTCAGGCATGTTTTTAAATTGGCTTAGTTGAAAGGGTAAAATTTGGTATAATTAAAATTGAAGCAATGTTAAGATCTATTGGTTATAAATCGACCTTCCTAATAGCACATGGCTTTCAGTTATTAGAATGAAAGAGTTTCTTTGGGGTAAGTATATTTTTCCCCAGAGGTAAACACACAGGAAACATATATCACAAAATTAGGCATCAGCTGTCCTTATTATCACTTTGTTTAACTGTTCTGTTACAGTTACAGTGTTAACATTATTGTTGAGCTTTGTAAACTATTTTTCTTTAGAAAAATTATTATTTAAATATTAAATTTTTTTCTTTAATTCATGTGGTAAATTCTCATTTAATGTCACTGGGTACTAGACTTCGTCATGTGCTTTCTTTGAGGCTGATTCTGAATGAATGCTGATGTACTGGGCAGAAGGAAGTGCCAGCTAATTGAGGAATAAAATATTTTACTTTTTCCCCTTGAAGACTGCTTTGTTATTTATATTCCTAATTTCTTCTTTAGAAAGTTAATTTTATCATGGAAAACTTAATACAAAAGGAAAATAATCTCTTGAGTAGAGCATTTTCTAATTAGAGATATCTAGGATTATGGACTTTAAGAGAGGCTTTAATTTTTATACTGATGGCCCTGGTACATAGACTTTTGATAGAATATTAAAATAATGTAGCACATGTATATAACTTCAAAAATTAAGTAGTATTTGATTTGTATTTTTAAAACCCACCCTACTTTTCATCCCCCTTTTCTGTTTTGCAGAGATAAAATTTTAATTATTTCAGCTGGATTTACTTTCTTAATTCTAAATAACATGTTTATATGGCCTCCTTTCCTTTGTATTTCATTTTTTTTTTTTTTTTTTTTTTTTGCAGTACCACGGCTTGAATTCAGGGCCTACACCTTGAGCCACTCCACCAGCCCTTTTTGTTTTAGGTATTTTCGAGATACGGTTTTTTGAACTTTTTTGCCTGGGCTGGCTTCAAACCGCGATCCTCCTGATCTCTGCGTCCTTAGTAGCCAGGATTGCAGGCGTGACCCACTGGCACCTGGCTAATACTTTACTTTTTTTAACTTCCTTCTATGGAATATGAACATTTAGTACTTTATGTCCTCTCATCTTTGCAATAGTTGTGTCATATTTTGGCTGAATTGGTATTCAGCGTTTACATTTCTATGACCTTGGATCTAAATGTATAATAAAATACTGCAAATATTTTCATTTACTGAATACTTTTGCATGCTTTTTGCCTCATTCCCAGACTTTAAAAACTCCTTCGATGTGGGCTAAAATGACTGTGAGGTTGTTAGCCTGAGCAGCTTATAGGATGAGTTTACCACTTGAGAAATGGAAAAGAGATGAAAGATAAGATTTATTTTTACTAGGGTTGGTGAGGTGAGGAAATCAGGTGATCATGTTTGTTGCTCATATTTTCAAGGCCTAATCTTTTCTGGGTTCTGTTTTTCTTCCGGTTTCTTGTTGACTTCTAAAGTGCCTTCTACTCCCAACGTCACTGTATAAGTTTGAATTTCACCTCCTTTTACTGTAACAATTATGCATTAAACTGAATTACAATATCTTTCTGAGGGAGTTTGAAGTACACAAAGAAGGAACATTTGTTTCAGTGAGGCAGAATTGAAGATGAGGAAAAGCATTAGGCCCCTGAAGGCGGACTAGCTAAACTAGAAATGGATAGCATGTTCGTGTGACATTGAGTTGTTTTGGCTCAAGGGTAGAGGCTCCATGAAAGAGGAGATGGAGACAAAGCTTGGAAAATAGATAGGACCCAAATTGAGAGAGGTAATTTGGCCTTGTTACTATGGTACCATGTAGCATTTTTTTTAAAGCAGTTGAAAGTCAAACACAATTATTCCTTTCTTTTTATTTTTCCTTTCAATACTTTGGTTTGAAAGGTGGGCACTCTACCAGCCATCTCCCCACCCCATTTTTGCTTTACTTATTTTGGAAATAGGGTCTCATGTTTTTATGCTAGGGTCAATCTGGACCACAATCCTCCTGTTTACACTTTCCTTGTAGCTGGGATAATAGGCATTTACCACCACACCAGCTTTTTGGTTTTTTTTTTTTCCAATTGGTTGAGATTGGAGTCTCACCAACTTTTTCTCCCAGCTTACTTCGAACTTCAGTTCTCCCAAGTAACTAGGATTATAGGCCTGAACCACCATACCTTGCAAACACAGAATTACTCTTAAAAGTATCATTCTGTTACATAAAATGGGTTTGAAAGAGGGTTAGAAGCAGGGCAAACAAGTCTATTTGTAAGTGTTCATGTCTCAAACAAGATCAAGCAGAAGTAGAAAAAAATGAATTTGAAAGATTTAGGAGATAGAATCAGTAGTCCTTGTAACCAAATGGCTTAGAGGAATATTGCAGAAGAATGAGGCTAAAATTATGATTGCTGTGTGTTTGACTTGACAAACTGAATGGAAATCAGCCATAAACAAAGACAAATAAGAAGGGAGAAAAAATCTGGACCTCTGATAATTTATCTTTTGGTTGATGCTTGTTTAATAATTATTGTTAATCTGAGAATTCTTGGCCTACTCAGTTTTAGGTTGTTAGCTCTGTCTGTACCTTTAGGATTTATTTGGGGAAAACTAAGAGCAAAAATTCAAACTCTTGGTGAGACACAATTCTTGGGTTTGGGAGGGTTTAATATCTGCAAACGCTTTTTGTGTATGTAATATATAGGTACTGTGAAACTTTTTACTTATTTTATAGGTTAGCGAAGCAGGTGTTCATAGGCCCCATGTTGGTGGAATTCATGGTCGCAGTAATGACGGGGCATATTCCCTTGTCCTGGCTGGTGGATTTGCAGATGAAGTAGTAAGTGATATGACCTTGTGTTTTAGAACCCGTTTTTCTCTTCTGTAAAATACAAGCTTTGTCTAGGATACACCGTCTAGCATAGATTTTATGTTAGTCATTGGTTCTATGCAAGTTGTAGAGGAAAACATTTGGGAGTATCTAATCTTTACATCTACTAATTTGCCTTGTATGTATATTTTCTAACTAACTGTTAAAAGAACATTCTCTGTGATACATTATTTTTTAAAGAAATTAAACTGATTTTGAACTTATAGTTGTACATTCACAATATTTGTAGTATTAAAAATAAAAGGCATTCTGTGCCCTCTACCCAATTTTTTCCAGTAGTGACATTTTGCAAAACTATACAGTATCACAGCCACAGTATTGACATGGTCAAACTGCTGAACGTTTCTGATGTCACTATTTCTATTGTCATGTAGTCCTCCCATGGCTACACCCATCATACTGTGCCCCCAGTGTCTGATAACCATTAACCTCTTGTCTGTCTGTACAATTTGTCTTTTCATGAATTTTGATAAATAGAATCATGTAGTTGTAACCTTTAGTATTGACTATTTTCACTCAGTGTGATTCTCTGAAGATTGTGTCATGTATCAATAACTCATTCCTGTTCATTGCTGAGTACTAGTCTGTGGTTTGGGTGAAGCACAGTTTGTTTAACCATTCATCTGTTGAAGAATATCTGGATTGTTTTTTAGCTATTATGGGTAAAGCTGCAGTAAACATTTGTGTACAGTATTTTTGTAAACATGTCTTCATTTCTCTGAGAAAAATGTCAAGAAGTGTAGTGGGTCAGATGGTTGTTGCATTTATTTTTGTTTTTGTTTTTGTTTTTTTTGAGACAGTATTGCTGTGTTGCCCAGGCTGATCTTAAATTCTCCATTCTCCTGCTTCTTCTACCTTCTGAGTGCTTGTATTACAGGCAGGTGCCACCATGATATGTTTAGTTTTCTAGCGATTGCCAAATGGTTATTTGGATTGTACCATTTTATATTTCTAACAGTAATATACAAGTAATTCAGTTTTTCTGTGCATCTTACCAGCATTTGCTATTGCTATTACTTTGTAATTTTAGCTATGATAGGTGTGTAATGATATCGCCTGTTTTACTTTTTCATTTCCTCAGTGGCTAATGACATTGGACATTACTCATTTATTTGCCATTTCTGTGGCCTATTTGTTGGTGTAGCTTCTCAGGTTTTTTGCTGATTTTTCTAACTGGGTTATATTTGGTTTTTTGCTATTTATCAGATATGTAGTTGGCAGGTATTTTCTCGTAGTCTGTTTAATTTACTTGCTTTCATGAAATGTTACAACACAGTAACTATGGAGAGCACAATTGTGGTAAGTTTTTAGAAAAAGAAATAGAGAAGCTTACCATCTTACATTTGCCTATCCAGAGGGTAGACAAATTTGGCATTGTGTTTATTTTAACATAGTAGAGGAAATTGAAAATGGGAAATATTCAGGTTCTTTGTGTATTTCTTTATCATACATATTTTTACTTTATTTTTAACATCTTATTAGCATATATTAGTTTTTCAGGGGGCTTTCATTGTCACATTTCCATACTGTTTACAGTGTACCTTGGTTAGATTCATTCCCTCCTTAATTCTCCCTTCTCCCCTACTTAAAATAATCTCAACAATTTTCTTTTTTTTTATTTTCATACAAGTATATAAAGTACATGGACCTTATTCCCCTCCTTCCCCCTCTCCATTTACCCTTCCCTATCCCACTAAAACCAGCCCCCCAAGAGGACCTGGTTTTTCATTCTAGTCTTTCATTCTTCAAGTGTATATTCCTTGTTCGGAGGGATTTTACCACGGTGTTTCACCCACCAAGCTTTGGATCAAGTAATATAACTTGTGATAGTATACTTACATAATTGTAATTGAATATTGCATTAATTTGGTAAATATCACAAATGAACATGCCAATTCATAGTATCCTAACCAAATCTCCTGACTCTAAGATGGGGCCTATACTCAGGTTTAGGTTTCTTATTGTAAAAATCTTGTCCTATAGGATCGTGGTGATGAATTCACATACACGGGAAGTGGTGGTAAAAATCTCGCTGGTAATAAAAGAATTGGTGCGCCATCAGCTGATCAAACACTTACAAACATGAACAGGTACTATTGTAAAGAATTCAGAATTTGGATGTTGCATAGCAATTTAATTCTAGGATTACAATTTGTGATTTAAGCTGCAGGGCAGAAATTTAAATTACGAGTTAAAGATCTAAAATTAAAGTTCCATTGCCTGATTATATACTTGTAAGTATCCTAACTTATTTCTCCATACGGTTAATTTTGAAGTGGCACAATTCCCGGCCTTACTTAATGCATATGCTATGCATTTGATATCTTTGAAGGAAGGGAACCATACAATTTAAGTATAATTGAGGACTTAATTGAGGGAATATAGTTTGCTACCCCATAAGTCAAAACTAAAGTGATCTATGCAACCCAGATTTCTCTCTTAAGGTGACAGACTTACTTTAGGAGAGACTGAATAACGTGAAATAGGGTTATGATTGGGAGCCACATGTGCATGGTGAACTATCAGGTAACTTAACCAGATCTGCACTCAAGGTACTTTTAGGGTTTCTATTAATAAGATATCTTTTAAGTGTTATAATAGGAAATGTTTGTTTAGTTACAAAGTGGTGTTTTTGAATTAAATCTTCTTAAGGCATTATAATACCTTGTGTTGATCTTTATTGTATAAAAAATAGTAATGACATCCCAGCTCCCACGGAACATAAAATTTAATAAATTCAAAATATTTTATCTTGTGAATGCATGCTAATGTCAAGATTAGTAATAGATAAGTAAATCAAACTATCAGATAGCAAAGATCACATTATAACTTGTCAAACTAAAAGTTTTGTGATTATTTCATATAAAGTTTTTTATGTTTGTTTGTTTGTTTGTTTTTTTCCTGGTGGGACTGGGGTTTGAAGTCAGGGCACTTGCAAAGCAGGCACTCTACTGCTTGAGCCATGCCCAAGTCCGTTTTGCTCTGGTTATTTTTGAGATGGGATCTTGCAAACTATTTGCCTGGGCTGGCCTCAAGCCGCAATTGTCCCAATTTCAGCCTCCCAAGTAACTAGGATTATAGGCATGAGCCACTGGTTCCTAACTTTTTGTGTCTTAATAAAAATATATTATGCATTAATTGAGAAGTCAGTATTTTTCAATTTGACTGTAAATCACTTGGTTTTTAAGTAGTATGCTTTCAAGGTTTTATTACATACTAACTTAGTATCTCTGTTTTTATGGCTTGCATATTATTTCTGACAGTAGGATTATTTTACTGAACCAGCAGAGGAGACAGGTCAGATTTGCTGGTGAAAACATTCATGAGGCAGAAGTCTAGTCCCTAGGTATTCTTTTTCTGTCAAGAAGGCAGCTCTTTAGGAGCAATGATCTTAAAAGAGTTTAGACAAAGTCTGGTGCATTTTTCTCAATGAAAATATATCTTAAATTTGTAAAAGCCTTTTTAAGATGTCATATCTGGAAATTATTTTCCTGTTAATAATAATAGACCATTTTGCTGTTATGTTTGAATGAAAGTTCTTTGGTAATTACCCACACCTGTAATATAAATGTTAGATTTCTTTTACGTTTTGGACAATCTAATAAGTACTGTTATAATCTCCTTAGAAAAAAATCGACAACCAGTAAAAATCTTTGATGTCGAAAAGAGGGTTATCAAAATGAAATATTAACTGAAAACAGTTTAAGGTTTATTTGTCATATAGACCTTAACGTCCAGTTGGTTACTTTTATACATTAAGCTATAAATATGCCTTACGATTCTAAGGCCTATAGGACCTTAGTACATGAAAACTGAGGTGAAAGACCATTAGCTCTGATTAGTATATTCTTTCCCAATGAGTGTATGCTGCAATTTGTTTTTGCCTCTCTGCCAAGGGAAAGTTTGACATCTTTTTGTTTCTGAGAAGTTTATTCCTATTTCTTCACAACTGTTCTACTTTTAAGAAACTGAAGAGAGCTGCAAGGCAGCCTGGCCATCCTTTATCAGGGCAGTTAGAGGCAACTGATTGGCTGAGCTATAGAGAAGAGTAGTGGAAAAGCTTTGCTGCTGTTTAGCCTTGTTTCATCCTTCTGGACTCTTCACATTCTTGAATAGCCTATGTACTTATCTGAGGCCAGAAGTGAGTTGATATGCTAGTTAGTGGTGGCAGTAATTATAACTGAAGGTTCCTGTGAGCTTTAAAACGTCACTTGGTGACATGAAGGTAATACTTATCCTAGCGCATTAAGATGAATTTGTATTTATTTATAGGTATTCCATGTAAGATGTAATATTAGCCCTAGAATTAGTAGCTATATTTTCTTCTACCTCCCAGTTTTAAATGATCTTCCCTTTAGTTAAAAAAGATAACTTAGTAAGCTCTACACTTTGATTTATAGGTATAAGTTATTTTAAAAAACAAAACACTTTTAATTTTATTTACTTTAAAAAGGAAAGTATGGTCAAGAAATTCCTTTTCAATAGAATAGTCATAGTCTTAGGGTGTATTTTAATTAGAGCTTTAATTAAAAAACTACACCTTGAAAAAAGTACATAGTATTATATCTGATTTCACTAGTTGGCTATATATGTATTTTTTTACAACCATTCCTCAGTATGTTTTCTTCACTTAAGTTAGGAAGTAGGCATCTTAGAAGAAAATACTAGTTTTAAATGTAGTATTTTCAGTAGGACTAGCTTCTCCCAAGAAAGAAAATCTTGTAACATCTAATTAGCTGACTGATTTATTACTCCTGAGTGTATAAAGATGCTTTCAGATGTCAGGTGTTTTTTCCAACTCAGTACTCCTTTTCTTTGTCATCAGTAAATTGTAGCCATCTCAATTAGTCAAAAATTTTTATTATCATGATTTGGCACAGGCATTTTGATGCTTCATTCTTACTTAAATTTATCTTTTTGTGGAGACCTTTAAAAATATTCTCATATTGCAGTTGTTAATACATTTTAAACTTTTCAGAATTTCTACTGTCTGGAATGGAAAGTAGGCCTAGGAAGTTCACTTGTAACTTGCTGACAAGTTTATTTTTCTAGATTTCTTTCTACATTATTCCAGCAATTTACCTCACTCCCTTTTCAAAAATAACTATTAACAACAATCACTTGCTTTAGTTTTCGAACGTTTTCCCTTCCCTCAACAAATGTTATTTAAAGCAAATTCCATGTATTTCTAGTTGTTTTCTATTATACGTGGCACAGATGTTATTACTTTCAGAAGAACCCTACAGGCTATCTGAGAACCAATCCCCTGGCTTGGGGGTAACATCAGAAAACTGATTTGTCTTCTCTGCTGGTGGGGGAAAGCATAATCCTATTATCTGGAATAATGTGGAAAGAATCATAGAATCTTAACCATCAGGTAAGGCATAATTCACCTTTTAATTGAGCCAATGACTCGATTATATACTTGCAGAAAGATTACTTGGTATAAAGACTTTATTTTATTTTTTTAGGGCATTGGCTCTAAACTGTGATGCTCCATTGGATGATAAAATTGGAGCAGAGTCTCGGAATTGGAGAGCTGGTAAGCCAGTCAGAGTGATACGCAGTTTTAAAGGGAGGAAGATCAGCAAATATGCTCCTGAAGAAGGCAACAGATATGATGGCATTTATAAGGTGCTCTATCTGGCATGACATCTTGTTAGTCATTTTCCCTGGGCTTTCAAGGCAGGGCTGCCATAGGGAACTACTGTGGGTGGGCTAGAGGAAAGAATAGACCATATATTTGGCATTTCTACTTTTCCTATAAATGTAACAGATACATGAAGTGAACTCAACTTCAAAACTTTTGAAACAAGGGTTTATTTGAGACTGTTAAGGGTAGAATTATATTTTGGGTTAAGACTTGGTATTTTATTTTTTTGTTTGTTTGCAGTGCGTGGGATTGAACCCAATGGTTTGGCAAGCACTCTACCAGTGAGCTATATCCCAAGCCCCAAGATTTTTTTCAATAAGCATACATTCTCTGTGAGAAAACCATTTAAATAATTTGGCTGTTACAGATCTTGATTCTTACATCTTTTCAGAATGCTTTTAATTTTAATGATTGTGGTAGATTTCAAAGCACAACACGTTAAAAATAGATTTGTATCCTTTTCTTAAAAATAAGGGCATCAGCTGCCACCATTTTAATCTACCTATTTCACAAAATTCTGTTAGCATAATTTTATTTTATTCACATATTAAGTTTATAGCAGTGTTCCTTATGGAACCTATCTTAATAGGAAATAAGAACAAAACAATATTCTAGTGAATATTCTTGACTTATTTACTATTCTTACAGCAAAGCAAATGTCTTCTGAAGTTGTATTTAATTATGGCAAGTTTACTTAAACCACTAATATGATGACATGATGAATAAGTCTAAATTTTAAATCTCAATCTAGTACTGAAATATTGTGGTGTAGGTGGTGAAATACTGGCCAGAGATTTCATCTAGCCATGGGTTCTTGGTTTGGCGCTATCTTTTAAGAAGAGATGATGTTGAACCTGCTCCTTGGACCTCAGAAGGAATAGAGCGATCCAGGAGATTATGTCTACGTTTACAGGTTAGATTACATTTGTCTAGTCTACTTGTGTGTTCATAAAAATAGACACCTCTGTACTATCTGCATGCCCTAACACAGGCTAAAACTCATAGATATTGGATCGATGGACTCTTAAGAAGTGAGGAATTAGATCATGCAAGTAAACAGGAGGAAAACAAGTAAGAAGGTGTCATCCTAGGTGTTACACTGCACTCGGACCAAGCATTGAGCTTGGGAAAAGCTGAACTTACCAAGGAAAAGTAAAATATCACCAACTCAATTTGGAAATGACTTGAAGTATGAGGGATAGGGACTCATAAAATTTAGGGTAGACGGTCTTGAGAAGAGACCTCTATCCTAGAGGGCACAGGAGTATGTTTCTGGTAGGGGACAGGTGGGAGGTGGCTCAGAAGAGTGGTCTGCTTTATACCCTTTTCACTTTTCCTCTGCAAAGCTGATTCCTTGCCCTGTCACCACTTTTAGTGCTTTGCCTTCCCTCCCCCCCCACCCATGCCCATGCTCAGATGTTAACCCATTAAAAAAAAAACTTTATTGGTTTTGTGTACATACTGGATTGTATGGCTGCATTTCCCCTTCACTGCCTGTATATCCTAGATCAGTGTCCCTAACACTGGTTTCAGAGCATGGTTTGAGTTTATCCCCCACCATTCCCCATTATTGTGCTTACCACAAAGCCTGCCAGCTTTTGTCATTTCCCCTACACTGTGCCTATACTGCATGTGTAGGGGCTGAACTATGGGCAGGTGTCTGACCACCCAAGAAGGTGAGGGTGTGTCTTCTGGTGCAAGTGTTCTGTTCTGTTCTCTTTTTAAACTCATAGAATTGATTGTTTAAATCAGATTCATCAGCTGTCAAAAGAGTTACCAAATAATTCTTTTTTGTGACAAAATTTAAAAAAAAAAGCTTTACCTAATCTATTTCCAAAAGATTTTTCAGATCCCAGTGTTCAAAGCATTGTTCTAGATAGGTGAGATTTGAAACTGCGAGAAGCATGTAAGCCCCTGTACCATGATAAGTTAATAATAGCACTGATGAGGCCACAGACACATTGAGCTTTAAACATGAGCATTATCATAAAACATCCCTTCCCTACAAAACATAACTATTAAAACATAAGGGTGGTGCTTACTTCAGCAGGACATATACTAAAATTGGAATGATACAGAGGGTATTAGCATGGCTCCTATGTAAGGATGACATGCAAATTCATGAATTATTCCATATTCAAAACAAAACAAAGAAAAACATGTGGAATGGGTCCCTTAAAGTCTAACCGTTAGGTGTAGAAAATATAGTCTTCTGAAAGCACCCTTCACCTCCCACCCCCCAATTTTGGAAGATGAGAAATTTGGCCCTTTTTAGTTTTAGATTAACTCCATAGTTTGCATAAGCCTAGCTCTATGATTATCATCCACTGTGCTCCATGGTTGAGTCTCACTTATCTTCATATCTTAAAGTCTCCTTTCCTTAAATGTTGTAAGCTACCTAGAAAAACCCATGAAGATTTCCTTCCTCTCTTAGATCTGAAACTAAGATCATTGTATTAAAAAATAGGGTGTTTTAGTAGTCAAAACTATGTGAATTTTTTTCTTTAAATAAGTATTTCCTTTATGTAAATTCTTTCAGATTGGAGAAAGTTCAGACTTCCCCACCCTTTTAAAATTTCTCACCAGAATTTAGACCCTTTTGTTCTCTATAAAGCCTAAATCTCATTTGTTCTTTTTCTCCCCTTCATCAGTATCCAGCAGGTTACCCTTCAGATAAGGAAGGGAAAAAGACTAAGGGACAGTCAAAGAAGCAGACCAGTGAAGCCACAAAAAGGCCAACTTCAGATGGTAGGTGATTATTTCAAAGTATATATCCTAATAATGAGAAATATTAAGAGACTAAATTGAGATTGGTGAGGAATTAAAAGCAAAGATGTTTTTTGTTTAGACATGGGTGAGTCTAGTGTATTTTAAGTGTCAGAGCCATAACAGCAGCAAATATATTATCCTAAACTCCAGAAGTTAGATGCTGCTCTTTGTGGGTATCGTCCTGCCAAACAATACTGGTTAAGTCTTTGGTTACAGTGTTTCTAAGCAGAACTATGAAAGTCTGCTGACTTTTTTTTTTTTAAATAAACTTAGATGAGTGTCCAAGTGCCTCTAAAGCATTGAAAGCATCCGATCCAGCAGAAGCAGTTGAGGCTTTCCAACTCACCCCTCAACAGCAGCACCTAATCAGGGAAGACTGTCAGAACCAGAAGCTGTGGGATGAAGTGCTTGCATCTCTTGTGGAAGGACCAGTATGTAAAGAGTTTCTTAAATAATAATGTTCTAATAACAAATGATGAAATCAAGTATGAGTTACGCATTCAGTTAAAACATGATCCTATCTAGTTTTCTCATCCAGTGCCACCACCATTCAGAAATAATTTGAGGCAATAATTTTAAATGCTCGTGAATTTATTCTAAACCTCTTAGATGTTGATTTTTTACTTCTTTATGCCTGAACTTTATAATTTACATTGAGGTGCTATTCCTGGGAAGAATTTCACTTGTGAAACATAGCTTAATCTAAAACTCACCAAGAAAGGGCTTACTATACTTCAAAGTTATATAATAGGGCATAAGTCTTAAGCATTGTCAAGTTGGAAGTAAAAATAAATCAGTATTAATTTATTTAAATATTTTAATTTTTTTTCTATTTTGGCAATCATAAACTTTTAAGGTAAAAAGGAATTGGAAGGTTAATGTGTTAAAGCCATGTTCTGCAAATGAAGCTTAAAATTCCCCACAAAGTTGGAGGCTTCAAATGTGAATTATCGGTTTGTCTGTGCTCCCTTGCTTTTATTGTATCTTTAATTTTGCTTATAAATTTGAATCTTTTTTTTTGCAATGACCTCTTGTTGTTTATAATAAAGTTTTCTTTATTGTGATGTACAGCTGTTGTGAGTGGATTAGTTAAAAGTCCATCTTGTCATCTCTTAATAATTTCTTCTTTCCATTGTTCCTTTATTTCTCTCATTACAATGACTAGACCTTCTCATATGTCTGAAATGAGGTTATTGACTATCTCTACGCTGTCTATACAGACTAAAAACAAACTCTTAGGCGTTTTTTTATCACCTTAGATAGTTATCATTATTGTGTAAAGGAAGAATCTTTCTAGTAAATTTTTATACTTTTAGAAGCTGAAGTTTAGTGCAAGTTATTAAATCCTTTTTTGATTTAAATTGGAAGCATCACAAAAATTAAATCAAGGGAAAGAAAACAGGTGACTAAAACCACCAACTAGCCTATCAAGAACATAGTTGCACAGTACCAAGTGGAGCAATGGGAAGAAGAAAAAGGGATGGAGACCACTCTCCCCCAAAAAATAATTTAATACAGGATTCAGAGGGAAATGAAGAAAACAGATACTCAGTTCCTGACTCCAACAAAACAAAGATAAATGACATCAAGGAACCCAGCGATGCCCACAAAAACATCCTCAAAGAAGAAATCCTTCAAGTAATCACTGAGAATTTCATGTAGATGATATTAGACATGGTTAACCAAAATGTACACAGTGCACTCAAGAAATTTCAAGAAACCAAAAAAAAAAAAATAAGAAGATACAGAAACAAATGAACTCATAGGAGCCCTAAATAAACACCAAAGTGAAAAAGGAGGACACTATAAATACATAAATGAATTAAAGAGGAAAATAGACCAGGCATGGTGGCTCATGCCTGTAATCCTAGCCAAACCAAAAAAAAAAGAAGATGAAAATAGAAAAGAGGAAATGACCCATGATATGAAAAACCTCAGAAAAAAGAATCAAACACAAAACACAGTGGAAGGCAACTCCAGCAGACTAGAACAAGCAAAAGACAAAATCTCAGAACTCAAATATAAAATAGAAATTAAAAGAAAAACTGAAGAACTATTAGTCAGACAACTCAAGAGCTGTGAAAGGAATATGCAAGAACTCACCCACTCCCTCAAAAGACCAAACCTGAGAATCATGGGCATTGAAGAACGAGAAGAGGTCCAAGCAAAAGGGATTCATAATATATTCAATAAAATAATAACAGAAAATTCCCCAAATCTAGAGAAAGTTATGCCCATTCAGGTACAGGAAGCCTCCAGGACACCAAACAGACTTGACCAAAACAGAACTTCCCCATGACATAGTATCATTAAAACAACAAGCACAGAGAATAGAAAAAGAATACTGAAGACTTTAACAGGAAAAAAACCAAATAACATACAAAAGTAAACCCATTAAAATCACAGCAGATTTTTCAATGGAAACCTTAAAAGCAAGAAGGGCATGGACTGACGTATTCTGGGCACTGAATGAAAATAACTTCAACCTTAGGATATTCTGCACAGCAAAACTATCACTCAGAAGAGATGGAGCAAAAAAAAAATCTTCCAGGATAAGCAGAAACTAAAACAATATATGATCACCAAGCTACCACTACAAAAGATTCTCCAAGGAATTCTGCACACAGAAAAGTCAAACAAAACCATGAGAGGACAGGCAGTATCAAACCACAGGAGAAGAAAAGACAAGGAGTCAGAGAGTAACACTGATTCAGCTGCACACAATCAAACGCTTAAACAACAAAAACAACTAAATGACAGGAATCTCCACATACTTACTAGTATTAACACTGAATGTCAGTGGACTCAACTCCCCTATCAAAAAACTGGATTAAAAAGGAAGATCAAACAATCTGCTGTTTACAGGAGACCCATCTCTTTGACAGAAACATGCACTGGCTTAGGGTGAAAGGCTGGAAGATTTACCAAGCGAATGACCCCCTGAAAACAGACAGGAGTAGCAATACTTATCCAAGACAAAGTATACTTCAAACTTACATTGATCAAATGAGTAAAGACACTTCATACTAATAAAAGGGGAAATACACCAAAAGGAAATAATTATCAACCCATATGCGCCCAATCTCAGTGCACCCAATTTCATCAAACATACTTCAAAGGACTTAAAAGCATATATTGACTACAATACAGTGGTAGTGGGAGACTATAATAACCCCCTATCACCAATAGATAGGTCATCCAAACAAAAAAATCAATAAAGAAATTCTAGAACTAAATCACACTGTAGATCAAATGGACCTAGTTGATGTCTACAGAACATTTCATCCAACTTCTACACAATATACATTCTTCTCAGCAGCCCATGGAACCTTCTCCAAAACTGATCATATCTTAGGGCACAAAGCAAGCCTCAGCAAATATAAGAAAACAAAAATAATCCCATGCATTCTATCTGATCACAATGCATTAAAACTAGAACTCAACAACAAAAACAACAGTAGAAAACATGCAAACAATTGGAAGCTGAACAACACATTGCTCAATGATCAGTTGGTCATTGATGAAATAAAAGAGGAAATTAAAAGGTTCCTGGAAGTTAATGAAATTGAAAACATCACCTACTAGCACCTATGGGACACAGCAAAGGTTGTCCTAAGAGGAAAAATTATAACCATGAATGCATATATTAAAAGGACAGAAAGATCTCAAATCAATGACCTAACGCTACATCTCAAAATCCTAAAAAAACAAGAACATGCAAAACCCAAAACAAGCAGAAGGAGAGGAATAATAAAAATAGGGACCAAAATTAATGAAATAGAGACTTAAAAAAACATACAAAGAATCAACAAAACAAAAGCTTGTTCTTTGTAAAAATAAACAAGATTGACAGATCCCTGGCAAACCTGACTAAAATGAGGAGAGAAAAAATTCCAAATCGGTAAAATCAGAAATGCAAAAGGGGAGATAACAACAAACACCACGGAAATCTAGGAAATCATGAGAGACTACTTTGAGAACCTATATTCTAATAAATTTGAAAATCTTGAGGAAATGGACACATTTCTAGATACTTAAGACCATCCAAAATTGAACCAAGAGGATATTAACCACCTAAATAGACCTATAATACAAAATGAAATTGAAGCAGCAATAAAGAGTCTCCCATAAAAGAAAAATCCAAACCTGATGGATTCTATAAGGCCTTTAAAGGGAAACTCATACCAGCTCTCCTTAAACTTTTCCATGAAATAGAAAGGGAAGGAATACTGCCTAACTCATTCTATGAAGCCAGTATTACAGTCATCCCCAAACCAGACAAAGACACATCCAAAAAGGAGAACTATAGGCCAGTCTTCTTAATGAACATCAGTGCAAAAATCCTCAATAAAATAATGGCAAACCAAATTCAACAACATATCAGAAAGATCATGCATTCACCATGACCAAGTCATCTTCAACCCAGGGATGCAGGGGTGGTTCAACATATGCAAATCTGTAAATGTAATACAGCACATTAATAGAAGCAAAGACAAAAACCACTTGATCATCTCAATAGATGCAGAAAAGGCCTTTAATAAAATTCAATACCACTTCATGATAAAGCTCTAAGAAAACTAGGAATTGAAGGAATGTACCTCAACATTATAAAGGCTATATATGACAAACCTACAGCCACCATCATACTTAATGGAGAAAAACTGAAACCATTTCCCCTAAATCAGGAGCAAGAAAAGGGTGCCCACTCTCCCTACTCCTATTCAACATAGTCCTGGAATTCCTAGCCAGAGCAATAAGGCAAGAAGAAATAAAAGGAATACAAATAGGTAAAGAACTTGTCAAAATATCCTTATTTGCAGACGACATGATCCTATACCTCAAATACCTAAAAAATCTTCTGGACACCATAAATAGCTTCAGCAATGTGGCAGGATACAAAATAAACTTAGAAAAATCATTAGCTTTTCTATACAACAATGAACAAATTAGGAAAAAATATATGAAATCAATTCCATTTACAATAGCCTCAAAAGAAATTAAATACCTAGGAGTAAACTTAACAAAGGATGTGAATGACCTCTACAAGGAGAACTACAAACTTCTGAAGAAAGAGATTGAGGAAGACTACAGAAGGTGGAAAGACCTTCCGTGCTCATGGATTGGTAGAATCAACATAGTAGAAATGGCTCTACTACCAAAAGCAATCTACATGTTCAGCGCAATTCCCATCAAAATCCCAATGACACTGATCGCAGAGATTGAAAAATCTACCCTAGAGTTCATTTGGAAACACAAGAGACCAGGAATAGCCAAGGTAATACTCAGCAAAAAGAGCAATGCTGGAGGTATCACAATACCCGACTTCAAACTGTATTACAAAGCAATAGTAATAAAAACAGCATGGTACTGGCACAAAAACAGACATGAAGACCAGTGAAACAGAATAGAGACCCAGATACGAATCCAGACAACTATGCCCACCTTATTTTTGACAAAGGTGCCAAAAACATAAAAATGGAAAATAGCCTCTTCAACAAACATTCCTGGGAAAAGTAGTTATTTGCCTGCAAAAAACTGAAACTAGATCCATGTTTATCACCTGCACTACTATCAACTCAAAATGGATCAAGGACCTTATTTTCAGACCTGAAACTCTAAAGCTATTACTGAAAAGAGCAGGGAATACTCTGAAAGCAATAGGTACAGGCAAGGACTTCCTCAGTAGAACCCCAGCAGCTCAGCAAGAGAAAGGATGGACAAATGGGACTATGTGAAATTAAAAAGCTTCTGCTCAACAAAAGAAGTGGTCTCTAAACTGAAGAGACCACCCACAGAATGGGAGAAAATATTTGCTAGCTATATATCAGATAGAGGACCGATAACCAGAATATACAGGGAGCTCAAAAAACTGAACTCCCTCAAAATCAATGAACCAATTATGAAATGGGCAACTGAACTAAACAGAACTTTTTCAAAGGAGGATGTCCAAATGGCCAAAAAACATGAAAAAATGCTCACCATCTCTGGCTATAAAAGAAATGCAAATCAAAACCACAGTAAAATTCTACCTCACTCCTGTTAGAATAGCCATCATCAAAAACACCACCAACAACAAATGTTGGTGAGGATGTGGGGAAAAAGGAACCCTCATACTTTGCTGGTAGGAATGTAAGCTAGTGCAACCACTCTGGAAAACAATATGGAGGCTCTTAAAATACTCAACATAGATCTGCCATATGATCCAGCATTCCCACTCCTAGGGATATACCCAAAGGAATGCAATTCAGGTTATTCTACAGGCACCTGCACACCCGTGTTTATTGTAGTACTATTCACAATAGCCAAATTATAGAAACAGCCAAGATGCCCCATTACTGACGAATGGATTAAGAAAATGTGGTAGTTATACACAATGGAATTTTACTCAGCCACAAAGAAGAATGAAATCTTATTCGCAAGTAAATGGGTGGAACTGGTGAACATCATCTTAAGCGAAGTTAGCGAGGCTCAGAAGTTCAAAAATTGTATGTTCTCCTTCATATTCGGACTTAAGACCTAAAACAAATGCAGTAATGTTATTAGACATGGGTCACGTGCTAAAGGGAGAACACCTCTAGGAGGAATAAGGAAAGGTAGGAAACCCAAGCTTTGAAAGTGTTTGATGTGCCCACTGTAGAGGAGCTAATGTAGGAACCTTAACTGGACAGAGTTCACTATGGGAAGGTGACCGGAAAGTAGTGAAGAGGTCTGGTAGAGATGAATCAATTCAGGTTGTAATACACATGTGCATGGAAGCGATGCTAGGAATCTCTCTGTATAGCTATCCTTATCTCAAACTAGAAAAAATGCTGTCTTTCTTATTATTGCTTATGTCTTCTCAACAAAATTAGAGAACAGGTTCTGCCTGGAAGTGAGGGGAGTTGGGGGCAGGGGAGGGAAGGGACAGGGAGCAGGGGAAGTGAAATGGCCCAAACAGTGTGTATATATATATATATATGAATAAATGAATAAATAAACCAAAAATAAATAAATAAATTGGAAGCATCATTCCCCTTGTCTATAAATGTAAGATTTTGGGTTGTCTGTAATAAGGCTTACATGTTTAGAGGACAGAGGAAATTGATTGTGCTCTGTGAGAGATATTAACTTGCTTTTTTAGCCAAATAGCTAGGCATGAGGAGAATCTGAATATTAGGTCAGACTCATTTTGTCCCTTAGAATAAGTTAAAGATACAGCAAATCACTGTTAAAAAAACAATGTATGTGAGCAGTTAGATTTGTTGGGGAGGATATAGGTGGTTAGTGATGACTCAAGTGACTTCTCTGTGTTGGGCAGGCAGGGAACAAAGTAGCAGTTAGAGATGGGAGGAAATAATGTTATGTGCATAAGGAAGTTTTCTTTCCCATGGATGCTGTCCTGCTTGTGACAAGATTTGACCTCCCTAGGTCAGGTTGTTATGACCTTGCTGCTAGTGATTACTCTGGACATTTATATATTATTACTCTAGACAGAGGGCTGGGGCATACTTAAGAGGTAGAGTGTGTGTGTAGCTTGCACAAGGCCTTGAGTTTAATCCCCAGCACTGGGACTTAAAAAAAAATTTTATTCTCACTCTTGTCTGGTAAGCCAGGAGCACAATATACCAGGAAACCCAGGTGCCAGCTAGGATTACAGGTGGTGACTCTCACCTGTACTCAGGAGGCACAGATCAGTAGGATTGCCGTTTGAAGCCAACCCCAGAGAAATAGCTTTACAAGACCCTATCTCAAAAAAAAAAACCCTTCACCAAAAAGGGATGGTGGAGTGACTCAAAGTGTAAACCCTGAGTTCAAACACCAGTACGGCCAAAGAAGAAAAAAAAAAAAGATGTTATAGTCAATAGTGACTTTTTTTTTAACCCCCCTAGTATTGGGGTCTGAATCCAAGATGTCAGGCATGCTAGGCAAGGGGTGTATCACTTGAGCAGCATCCCCAACACTTTTGTTTGTATTTTTTTGTTTTTGAGATAAATCTTCATAACTTTTCCTGACTGGCCGCGAATTCACAATCTTCCTGTCTCTGCCTCCTGAGTAGTTGGTGTTACAGCTATGTACCACCAAGCCTCCAATGGTGACTATTAAATAAGTATATGTCTATATATTTACAACCAAACACCTTCCCAAGTTCTCATGATTGACAGCCACATTTACCTGGGTAGCCTGTTGTTGATCTGTTTGTCTGCAGTGCTTTGTGCTATTTAACACACTCCACTTGCTCTCACCCCTAGTTTACGCACTGCTGTCTGATCAACTCTCTTCATGTCTCTCACTCCTTCGTCGTATCTTTTAAGTCTACACAGAAAGGCCTTCCCTAGCCTCCTCTTTCTAAAATAGCACCTCTACAGTAAATTTGATCACAGTACATCATATGCATGTATGCAAACACCACAGTGAAACCCTTTGAACAATTAATATACACTAATGAAAAACATTTTAAAAAAGAGCCCCTCTTTAATGTTGCTTTATTACTATTTGAAGTTTTTTTTCTGCTGTCCTACAGGAATACAAGTTCCATAAGAGCAGAGTTTTCATTACCACTGTGTAGATGAGTCCCTAGCATATTATAGGGACTCAAAATATCTACATTACATCTTTTTTCTTCTTCTCCCCACTCCCTCTGCTTTTTTTTTTTTTTTTTAAGTGCTGGGAATCAAACCCAGGGTCTTGACCTCTACCACTAAGCTACATGCCCAACCCTTGTTTTTTGAGGTAGGGTCTTGCTATGTATCCCAGGCTGGTCTTAAACTTCCTGTTCAGCCCAAGCTGGCCTCAAAACTTTTGATCTCCTGCCTCAGCCTCCCATGTGCTAGGATTACAGGTATGTATGGAGAGAGTACCTGGTATAAAGTTTTGATTTTTTAACATCTCCCTGTAAGTATTACATTCTTTTACTGTGTTATGTAAATGCTTTGTTCATAATTCACTTGACTTTTATAAACCACGTTAAAGTACTAGTTACTATCAAAATTCCTTTAAATTTTGTCATTTGGGTGTTTTAGTAATTTGAAAAAAAATTTTTAATTAATTTTTATTTTTTTGGATGGTAATGGGGGTTGAACTCAGGGTCTGGCAATTGTGAGGCAGGCACTCTAGCACTTGGGCCACAGCCCCAGCCCTTTTTTGGCTTTAGTTATTTTAAGGATCAGGTCGGGTGTTTTTGTCCACAGTTAGTCTCAAACCCATCATCCTCCTACCAGCTACCTTCCTTATAGCTGTGACAGGCTTGTACCATCACACTCATCTTATTTGTTAAGATGGGAGTCTCACAAAATTTTTACCATAGTAGGCCTTGAACTGTAGATTCTTCTTATCTTAGCCTCTGGAGTGTCTGGGATTATAGGTTTGCTGTACTATACCCTGATCCTTTAACTTGAAATTCTTTCAAATATGAGAAAGACATTCCCACTACTATAAATAACAAAATACAGAAGTATCATCCTGACTGTTCAAAAACTACCCCTTTTGTAAAAATCAGATAATAGGGTATCCATTTGATCATGTTTATTCAAATTATTGCTACTTTTTATACTTTTAATCTACATTAAGAAAACATTAGAATGAGGAAAATATAGAATTTGGGGGATGAGGCAAAATATAACAGAGAATCCTAGTAAATAAATATATTGATTCTTTGTGGCTCAGATGCTTCAAAGTATTGTTCCCTGGTGCTTTTTTTTTTTTCCCCATGGAGCCACACCTCCAGTACCCTGGTGCTTTTTTTGCAAGCTTCAAAAAATATTTAAGTTTCTTAGCAACAAAAGATTGAGTAAATAATGCATTTTATATACTGAAATACTGTACAGTGCAGTTTGTGGAATAAAAGTAATCAGTATCTAATGACCTTGAGTGAGACAAGCTGCCCATGTCTTTTTGTTCTTATTTTTACAGTGCCAGGGATTGAACCCAGGGCCTTGCAAGTGCTAGGGAAGTGCTCCACCACTGACCTATACCCCCAACTCCTGATTTTTTTTAAGTGAAAAGTAGCCAGGCATGGTGGTATATGCCTGTAATCCCAGCACTCAGGAGGTATAGACAGAGGCAGGAGGATTGTGAGGCCACCCTGGCCTACATAGTGAGACCTTGTCTCAAAACAAAACAAAACAAAACAAAAAACCCAAACAGCAATTAAAAACAGAAAAATAGTTACATTGGAATGTGAAGTGCAGAGAGAATTTGATCGGATTCCCTCAGTTCCATTAAATGAGCCTGTTTGTCATAAGTAATTAAAATCACTATTTGATTTTCTTAATAGAAAACATTAAATATGACTGAGATAATTTTTTCCTGATCAATTAAAAGTTCATTAGTATAGTATGAACTGCTAACTTTTTTTCTTTCTCCTTGATTGCCGTTATAGAATTTTCTGAAAAAATTGGAGCAGTCTTTTATGTGTGTCTGCTGCCAGGAGCTAGTTTACCAGCCAGTGACAACAGAGTGCCTCCACAACGTATGTAAAGTAAGTCAAATCCGTCCCACCTCCCCTCAATTGACCTGAGGATACATTAAATCACCTATTTTTAGCGTGTGAACAAGCATCTTTCCAGAAGAATACTTATGGAAGCTAGCCAGTTAAGCATTTAATTACATGTTGGAAAATGCATGTTTCAATTTGATAGTAATAGTAATTCTAATTGAAATGGAGAAGAAACTATGGTGTCATTGCTCTTTTCTACATAATAGCTTACATATATTTTATATACTGCATGCAAACTGAAATAGCTTCATGCACTTAACTAAAACAATCTAGACTGGGGGGTGCTTGCCTATCAAACACAAGGCCCTGAGTTCAAACCTCAGTACCACCTTCACCCACCCACCCCTAAAAAAAATTCTTGGTGGGTGTGGTGGCTCACACTTCTAATTCTGGCTACTTGGAAGGCAGAGATGGAAAGGACCAAGGTTTGAGGACAGCTCAATCAAAAAGTTAGCAAGACCCTCATTTTAGTCAATAAACTGGGCATGATGATACACATTTGTAACCTCAGGTACGTGGGAGGCATAGGAAAGGGAGGATTGCAGTCTGAGGCCAACTCTGGGCAAAAACACAAGATCCTATCTGGAAAATAACTAAAGCAAAAGAAGACTGGGGTCATGGGTCAGGTAGTAGAGTACTTGCCTTGCAAGTACAAGACCCAGAGTTTAAACCCAGGACCTCTGAAAGAAATAAAAACAAACAAACAAAAAATCTAAAATACATTGCCAGGATGCTCAGATAAAAAATTGAATGTTGTGTTATCAATGTGATCTAAAAAGAAAAGTTTTAGTTAAGCCAGGAATGGACTCTTGCTCTACCAACTGGTGGTTTTGTACCTGATCTAACTTTAGAACTTTAGTTTACTTTGTAAAATGGAATCAGACCTTCTCGTGTCGGTTAGTTCTTGCTAATCAAATCTTCTACATATGTGTTTATGCCTGACCTTGTGTCAGTTGCTTCTTGCTATTTTGTTAACTAAATGCATTTTTGGAAGGCTTAGTTCAGTGATTTGATAAAACATGTAACTTAGTTCTAAGCAACAAAATCATGGATTTTCTCCTTCTTGAGGTCTCTGTCAGGAAAAAAACTGTATTAAAATCCAACTTAGAACATTAGACTAGTGAGAACCGTACATATGATCTAACACTGTCATTTTACTAGATGAGGGTCAGATAGTTAAAATATTCACAGCATGTGTTAGAGGTGGAAGTAAAGCTGTGACTGTAGACATTGGAGCACAGATGTAGGCCTTTCTAGCTATTCATCCTGTACATGTCTCTTTTGAGAAGCAGTTAAATTTCTGGTTCCTGTTTAAAACCCTAAGTTGTTTAATTCTTTTCTACATTCTTGACCCTCTAATGAAGTGTGTGTGTGTGTGTTTTCCTTTCTTCATTTTTACCTTAGGATTGCTTACAGCGCTCCTTTAAGGCCCAAGTTTTCTCCTGCCCTGCCTGCCGACGTGATCTTGGACAGAATTACATCATGAGTCCCAATGAGATTCTACAGACTCTACTTGACCTTTTCTTCCCTGGCTACAGCAAAGGACGATGATCTGTCTACATCTGTCTGGTTCTGGTGGCTTTTTGAACAATAAAGAATCTAAAATGGGTGGGAGGGTTGAAGAAATGGTGGACCATATTTCTCACCTTCTGAAGCAGCTACTTCCTTTTCCCACATAGCCATCATCTTGTGTGTGTAGTAAGAGGCCCATTTCTCAACTGTCTTTTAAATATGAAAAGGTAGTTCCTATGAGTAACAACTAGTTTTAATGAATAAAAAGTCAGCCTCAGCTCTAGTTGATATCCAAGTTATGATTTATTTTGCAACTACCTCAGGACAGAAAAGATTTATGGGGATTTAAAAAAATCATCGAATAATTAGTTTAATGAGATTTTAGCTACACACTGCCTCCAAATATTAGTTGTGCCTGGTTGTAATTTGATTTTACAGAAAAGGAAATGACACTTGATTCTTGGAATGAACGCAGCTTCTGTATTATGCATAATACTTTTTTAATGTCTCTTCTTCCATTAAAGTGTGTGTTTTGCAAAGACAGGTTCATTTTTAAACACATTTTGTGAGCTCCACTGTGCTTTTTTTCTGGTGTTTTATGCAAGTTGACTACTAATGACTAATGAGAACAATATGAATGCATTGTTGCTGCATTAGTGTAATGTGGTGTGGTTTTCCAATTAAAGGAGCTCTAGTTGTAAATGTTCACAAAAAGTCACTTCTGTACTAGTCATACTGCTTTTAATGAGTCTTATTAGTGGTTTTACACCTGCAGAGTACTGAGGGCTATGCTGACTTTTGAGAAGATTGAAATTGCTTCATATTGTGATCCTAAATTTTATATTCACTATATTCCTTAAAGTATACCTTAATAAATATTTTATGATCAGAAAACAGCTCATTTTGCTTTACTCTATTACATTTTTCTGTTTTATAATGTGAATCAGTTTTTGGTTTTCATTGTGTGTTTATAGAAACAGACATTTTCACTCTGATTTTGATGATGAGAACTAGAATGAAGTCTTATGCATGAATGACAAATTCCATCCTGTTTGAATTTTTTTTTTAATTCTAAAACAGGGAAGGTTTTCAAACATAAGAACATAGTGACTGTTCTACTATATGTAACAACTATCTTATGTTCATTTTTAGCATGAATGCTACTTTATATTTCATACATGAGAATATTTTGAGACAGTGTTCTGTTCTCAGTATTGCCAAAGTTTTAATGTGATCAAGTTAGTCTTTCCATTCCTATATTCATATGCACATATACCAGTATTTGCATATATATAGCCAACATTTACTGGGTATTTACTGTGTGCTAGCCACTTGTACATGAGACACCAAGCAAGTGGCATAGCTGTACTGTAAGCTTAGGCAGCCTGAGTCTAGAACTTGTAATCTTTTCTTCATGCTGTGTAGACTCTCTTCCCTTGGATGTATAGCAAAGTAGTTCCATTTGTTTTTCCTGCATTTCAGTTAAATTCAAAATTAGGTTCTGGGAAACACTTTATAATACCGTGATTAGTTTGTGACAGTGGTTTCTGTTTCTGTAAGAAGCCTTAAGTGACTGTGTCACTAGGCTGTAAATGTCACTTAGGACTACATGCAGACATTGGAATCATTTTTATTGTGAAGAATCAGAATTTAAGACCTTCCTAGGTTGAAAGTGAATCATTAAATTTGTACCATCCAGTGTTACATTCCATCTGGCATTGATCACATTGAATGAATGGTGGAAAATGTCTCCCAATTTCAGCTATTTAAATTGGTTTAGTCCTACCACTTCTGTTAGCAGAATAATTCACTTTTAGTTATATATTGTCTTAATTCTGCTGTAACATGAGACTAGAAAAGAAAGCTTGAAACTAAGCAATTTTCTATTCATGAACTTAAAAATTTTTTTCTTTACATAAATATTTCAGTTTGTACTTAGAAAATAGAACTTTATGGAAACATAACCATAATACCACTGTCATACTTGTTTTTAAAAATGACAGTAATTTCTTTACATCAGGCACTTAGTGATCTAATTTCCCTCGTCTCAAATATCATAAATGGGTGTTTTATTTTTAGTTCATTTGTCTGAATCAGGATCCATATAAAGACTTCATTATGATTAATTTGATTAATTTCAAGTACTTTTAAGTCTGTACATTCCTCAATCTTTTATCTTTTTTTTCCTTCCTTTTGCCCCTTTACAATTTTTGTGTTGAAACTTCAACAGAATAGATTTAAGTGAAGACACCATGTGATGTAGCTAAACATTGACTCTTTATTTTTTTGTGTACTTAGTAGTAGCATGAAAGCGTGACCAGATTCTGATTTCTTCTTTATTTCTTTTGGCAAGACTTCACAGGTAACATGGTGTCCTGCAGGAGGCACACTATCCAGATGTCTCTCAGGCTTATGTATGAAAGATGAGTCTTCAAAAAAAAAAAAAAACCCTGGAGGCTTGGCACCTGTGGCTCATGCCTGTAATCCTAGCTACTCAAGAGCCAGACATCATAAGGACCACGGTTCAAAGCCAACTCAGGCAAATAGTTCTCAAGACCCTGTCTTGAAATACCAGTCACAAAAAAGGGCTAGCAGAATGGCTCAAGGGGTAGAGCACCTGCCTAGCAAGCATAAGGCCTACAGTTCAAACCCCAGTACTATAAAACAAAAACAAATGATCATTTTCCTGAGTAAAGGAGAATAGGCTTCTAATTTTAGAACCCACTTTCAGGTAACAGGTTATTCAATGAATACATGATGCTAGTATGTTTGGGGTATTAGGTGATCTTAACTTTGTGAAGTTGGTTATCTAAACCGTACACCCTTAATTCCCACAGTCTGGTATGTATGATCATGTAGCTAACAGCGTTCTTTCATACTTACAGCTTTCAATTTTATTAGCGGTCTCACCCATTTCTAAGAGCTGGGTAGAGATCTGCTCTGACTACCATTTTCTGCTGTTTTCCCACGAAGGACTAAACCTTTTCCCCATTCTTCTTCAGGATACTCCTGACTTGAGGGAATTAAGCTTAATGGCCCATTCACAACCAGCTTACCCTGAGACATTATTCTTGCTTGCTGTCTTTGCTAACTGGTCTCCACAGCCAGGTTGTTAAAATCCCTGAAGGAACTGATACCTGGTAACCTGGCTTAATCACATCCTACACCAAAAAAGTAATTGATACCAGTCAGTAGACGTAAGTAATCAAGAACTAGGGCCAGGTATGATGGAGCACAACTGTTATCCCAGCTGTTCAGAAGGCAGAGATAGGAGTGTAGTTTGAGGTTGGCCCAGGCAAAAGTCTGAAATGCTATCTTGAGAAAAAAACTAATTATAAAAGGGCTTTGTGGCTTAAGTAGTAAAGTACTTCCCTAGCAAGTGTGAGGCCAAGTTCAATCACCAGTACTGCCAAAACAAAAATAAAAAGAGCCAGACACTTGTGGCTCACATCTGTAATCCTAGTTGCTCCAGCAGGCAGAGATCACCAGGATCACTGTTTGAAGGCAGCCTGGGCAAACAGTTCCATGAAACCCTATTTCGAAAAAAACCCATCACAAAAACAGGCTGGTAGAGTGGCTCAAGGTGGAGGCCCTGAGTTCAAGACCCAGTACTGCAAAAAAAAAAATACTTTCAGGGACCAAGCAAGCACACAAGTGACTACTGTCAAAGAAAAAAAAACAAAAAAAAAACTTCACAACTGTATCTTCAAGAATAAAATAGAATTACATTGATAACATAAAAACAAGCTGTGTGAAGATTAAGATTCTTCAAACTTAAATGCGATTGTGAAAATAATAGATAAAACAGAACGAACACTGCCAAAATCTGAATGTCTTGCCAAGTAATATGTTATATATGGATATGACACACTTTGTTCATCTACTGATGGATCTTGGGGTTGTTTCCAGGGGTTGGCTATTATAAATAAAACTGCTGTGAACTCTTGCATGTAAGTCTGGAAAACTGACAGTTTCATACAAAATTAAATGTATACTTACCATATAAACCCATCAATTTTCACTAATAGCTATTTTACTCAAGAAAAACAAAAACATGTTCAAAGTGGTTTATACCATTGTATATTTGCACTCACAGTGTATGTGAGTTCTGTTTGCCTCTCTCGACACTTGGTTCTGTCATTTAATTTATAATCATTCTGGAGGAAGTACAGTTCCTGTAGGAGATAAGAGTGGGTTGAATATTTCGCAACAGTGGATTGTAGTCATTGTCCTATTCAAGCTTTTCTGGCTGTGAACTTCCTAACCTGCTTTTGCTTGGGTAGGGACATGTGACCAGGTAAGTTTGGATCTTTTTTGGCAGGGCGGGGTAGTTTGAACTCGGAACCTTGCTCTTGCCAGGCAAGAGCCACTCCATAGCCAATTTGGATCTTGAATGTTTCCCAAAGACCCATATGTTGAAGGTTTGTTCCCAACTCAGTAGTCTCGGAAGGGGGTGGGACCTTTGGTAGTTGGGACCTAGGAGAAGGAAGTTAGGTCTTTAGGGTATGCTGTTGAAGGGGATATTGGGACCCTGGCCCCTTGTGTTTTTGCTTGCCAACTGCCATGTGGTAAACAGCCTTCTTTCTGCCACATACTGCTGCCATGAGGTACTAGGCCACCCGAAGCTCTGAAACTGTGAGCCAAATTAAACCTTTTCTTTTGCTGAATTGATTGCCTCAGGTATTTTGTCACAGTGCTGAAAGCTAACCCAACACTGAAAAGTAGTACTGAAAAGTGGGCATGTTCCTGTGACTACCAGATCACATGAAGCCTTTGGAATTGGTTTGTAGGAGAAGTTTGGAAACAGGCTAGAGAAAGCTGAGTGCTGTAAGCAGAGAATAATGGATGAGTCCAGTGAAGGCTCTAAAGACCAGAATGCTGGAGAGTGAAAGTTACACTCATGGGGTTTGGTATGGAAAAAAGGACTCAACTGGTAATCTGACTGAAGGCAGCCTTTTTCACACTGGCAAAGAATTGGGATACATTGTATCCATGACCTGAGACTTTGTATGAGGTAAGTTATTTCATGGAGAAAATTTCAAGGCAGCAAACATTGGAGCAGTGGAGTAATATTGGCTGCTTTTAGCCAAATTTATTGCTAGGATAGAGAGCAACAAGAGCTCAAAAATTTGGAAAACTTGTAGTTGGCCAGAAAAGGAACGCACTAAGAGGATGCAGTTGCGAAGAGATTAATGTCAGAAAAAGCCAAGTACTTCGCACCTGAAGAACAGGAAAAATGCCTTGGGGCATTTTAGGAGTCCCCACCCACCTGAGAATGAAAGTTTTAAAAATATAAACTCATTTCAGAGCCTTTCTGGTGAGAAAAGACTGCTCCTGCTTGAACAGGATCGTGGAGGGCATTTCTCCCATGATTTAATTTGTTCAGGGCCACTGCAGCCTTGGTTCAAGTCGCCAGGGTACACACAGCTCCTGCTGGCAGCAGACCTCGCATCATACATGATGCTGGATTTTCAGGTATACAAGAGTACAAATTTATATTGTTTTCTAGTTTTTTGCCTCACCATGTTGTTTATTTGGTCAAGTCTTCTCATTGATGTGCTTTTCCCCCTTTGACAACCAAGTTGGATACTATCCCAAGGAGAATTAATGTGCAATCTAAATTTTATTCAAAAATACCTCACAATGATTTCTTTTAGACTCTTCATTTTCAAACCATGGTAATCATAGACTTCATTCTTAAATGTAATTGATTTCTGAGAAATAATGAAACTGTCTGAGGAACTGTTTGTTAATCCTTTTCTCCCAGAAGGGCCTCATGACCAGTATTAGACTTCAGGTTGACTACTTGTAATGGCAAAGCTGTGCCAGGCTAAAGCTGTCTTCGACAAAATAGAGAAATACTGTTGCTAGCTAACCTTCCACTTATACTTTCC